CATCTTGATTGCATATTTGATCAATTTCAGACTGAAGAAGTTGATGGAATACTTCAATTTCATTATCACTGATTTTAGTGGTCGGTGTATAAATTTACAGACTAGTGGTATTAACTGGTCTTCTTTGTAGGTGTATGGATATTATCTTATCAAAGACAGTACTATACTGCAAGATAGATCTTGATATGTTCTTTCTGATGATTAATGCGACACTATTCATCTTAAATTTGTTATTCCTGGCTTATTAAACCATGCGATTGCCAGATTCAAAATGGTCAAAACTAGCCCAGTTCACTTCACTAATGCCTAGGATACTGACGTTTATTCGTTCCATTTTTGACAATTTCCAATTTTCCTAGATTCATTCTTTATGCGTTCCTTGCTCTGATTGTTAATGGATGGTTACAGCTATTTCTTTTCATTGTTGAGTGCTCCCCATCAAAATGCTTTACTCCATTTGCATCATCATGGTCAACTTTACTTTGACAAGACAGCTCTTCCCCATTCATATTTTGAATGCCTTCCAAACTGAAGGGCTCATCTTCTGGCACTATCAATACTCTGATGCTTTTCATCATGTTTCAACATTTAATATTCTAGTGCTGACAGTGACTCACTGCTATACATAAGGTTTTCTGTGACTAAATATTCAGAAGTAGTCCGTCTCTCCTTCTTCCTAGTCTATCTTCATCTGGAAGCTCAGCTGAAATCTGTCCACTGTGGGTGACTTTGTTGGTTTGTAAAATCCTTGTTGCATAGCTTCCAGAATCACAGCAACCCACAGATCACCATAATACAACAAACCGACAGACAAGTGGTACAGTAAAAATAGTACATAAATATAATAGAAAAGTAAATAAATAAATATAGTAGAAAATATTAAGTTAATAGAAAAATCTTATTGATTTCTTTAAAGCTATATTTACAATTTTTTACTAGTAAATAGTAAAGATAACTTTTTAAAAAGTCACTGATTTTTTAAAGTTATCTTTACTATTTACTAATTAAAAGCTGTAAATATAGCTTTAAAGAAATCAAAGAGATTGTTTTCTATACAGCTAGAGAGGTTTACCCTTCAACAATAACAAAATTAAACCTAAAGTGGTAAAGAACCTCTTCTTGTATGTAGACAAACCAGGATCCAAAGGTGTCACTTTTGTCAAGATTATCTTCCAATAAATACATTATTGCAGCTTATAGAAATCTATTTTCCTAACCAAAACAACTTTCTAAACAAATTACTGAATTTCATTATATTTGAATTCTCTAAATTAGTAGAACACTATCTTTTAGCACTATCTTTTAGGACAATGATTAAGACATAACATTAAAATCTTAAAATGGCAATCTTTTTTCCAAATTACCAGAAAAAAATAGAGGATTATCATTTTTTTTAATTTATGATATTCTTATACCATTCTTCTTATAGGAACTTTGAAGTCTAGTATTTCAAATCTACCAGAAAGCAAATTCTAATGACAAAAATAACTGAACTAGTGGAATTTGGTACAAAAAGAATATTTTTTAAAATAAAGTAAAGAAAACCAACTATGCCTATTGTGCGTGGATGACTTTTTTATAGAATGTATACTTTTGAGTATGGCTTTACGTTACAATTACATTTTTTTTTTTCTTGGTAAGACTATTTCTAATTCAAAGAATATCAAAACATTCTGGCACTATTCTACATATATAAGTTTGAGAACCATAGTTTAAATAAAAGAAGAAAGAAAATAATTTTATCGAACTACGTTAGCTCTGTTTCCTACAAATTAATAACTAGATTGGAGATATAAACACTATACTAATGTTTCAGTCATTTATCATGTAGCTGTAGTTTTTATTTTGTATATGTATTCTGAATTAACAAAAACTTTCCTAAATTTAAGGAGTTCTGGTGGTGCTGTAAGATAGTCAGTGGACTGCAAACCAAGTGGTCAGCAGTTCAAACCGACCAGACACTGCGCTGGCAAAAGATGAAGCTTTCTGTTCCCATAAAGATATATAGCTTTGGAAATGCTCTCCTAGGTTGCTATGAGTTGGAATCAACCAGATAGCAGTAGGCAGGTTCCTGAACTTAAACAAGAACTTTTATTCTACAAGCGTATTTATAGAGACAGCTCTAATCACAGGAATCCTGGTGTGATGCTGTAGGATACACACTGGACTGCAAGGTCAATTTGAATTGCAATGTCAACAGTTCAAATCCACCAGTCACTCCTTGGGAACTCGATACATTCAAGGTCACTATGAGTCAGAACCAACTTGACAGCACTAAACAACAACAAATTCTAAACAGTGGAGTCCTGGTGTATCTCTGTAAGATAAGCACTAGACTGCTAACAGCAAGGTTGGCAGTTCACACCTACCAGGTGCTTCTGGGACACCCTATACAGGTAGCTCTGAGTCAGCACCAACTCAATGGCACCTAATATTTTAGACATTCAATAACTGTTTTCTAAGATGCTCTGGTGATGCTATGGATTAGGTGCTGGACTGCTAACCACAGGTCAGTGGTTCAAACTTACCAGCTGCTCTGTGGGAGAACAAAAGGTTTTCTTGGAAACCCGATATAGGGTTACTATGAGTCTGAATTTACTTGGGAAGTAGGTTGTTTTTTAATTAAGGACTAATTGTTAAAAGTATGCAAAATGTTTTAAGAGTTCAAAACATAGATAAAGGTTCAGACCTTCAATTAGAAATAATTCCAGGAAGCAGTGAGTAAGTTGTGAAATGCACTAAAATATTGTAGAAAGATGTCTGTACTTAACTTTTAATGGCTCAAAAACCAGCAATAATAATAAGTGATACAAAGTGAGAGAGAGAGAGAGAGAGAGAGAGAGAGTGTAAGTGCAGAGAAAGCGAGATGCATGTTACCAACTAGTGAATAGAGGTAATGGTGACACAGAATTCATTGTACTATTCTTGTAACTTTTTTGTATATTTGAAAATATTCTAATGAAAAGTTTTTTAAAACAAAATTAGAACGCACTTGTACAGTACAGTTTGGGTTTTTTATTACAGCAAATGCATCCTGGACAGGGTGCATGAGGTTACCCCCCCCTTTGAACTGTAGCTTTTTAACTTTCAGCATGAAACACAATGATAAAGAGCTCTCCAGCACCCATTCCCCACATTGCCACATCTACCCCCACTGCTTAACAGACCTGCTCCAAAATCAAAGCATCAACCTGCACTTTGAAGCATATCGCTCTTCAGGATGAAAGCATACATTTTAAATGTGATTGTTAGCCAGGTGAAACACTGTGCCTAAAGCAAGAATGGACGCGTATTCACTTCCATTACTTATAAAGCAGTTAAACATTTACTACTTATAAACCAAAATTTTTTTTAAAATTTCCAACCTTAACAGACACTGTAAGTAAAAAACTTTCAATAAATGACAGAAATGTCATTAAATGTCAAATGAACAGAAGACATCCATTTTATAATACTTTCTTTTCACCACTTTAATTCTTAACTATTTCTTTTCCTGTAAGTATTTCTCTAGAATGTAACTTGGTCAATGTCCGTATCACAGAGTCTTATTTTTGTAGAATACATTTGGACTTCTGGACCATCAAGACATTTATAGAAAAGTAAATATTTAGTACCCTTCTTTTTTACCAGCTAGCAAATTAAATTCTAGGTCTACAGTCAAGAGAATCACTCTCAAATGCCTACAGAGGCAAAGCATCATGGTCCTGTTAGAATGGATACTAAGAGCTGTGGCAAATCAGCAAGCTCAGCTCATGTGACAACTAAGAATCTGCTACTCAGTTCCATTCCAGTGTACTGCTGCCAGAGATAAATGCAGGACCAGAATTAGCAACTATTCTCATTATTCAAAAGAATTCGGAAATCTGAATTTTTATGCAAAACTTCATAAAACATGTAAGGTTAGTAACCTATTTTGAAATTTTCTAAATAGTATATGGCCAAACTAACTTAAGTACCTCTTAACATTTCTGCCCAAGGTCACCAGCTTGCAACTTTGCCTTAAAGCAGAATACATGTTTGAAAATACAAGTTCTAGTTCAATGACAGAAAAGGACACATATTAATCAAGCTAAATTTTTGTATCCTATTTAATGCATGAAATTCATATATTTATTGACCTTAATTTCCAATTTTTCAAAAATAAATCAATGAATACTAATTTTAGGAAATGTCACCTGAAGAAAATTACATTACTGGGAAATCTTTAAATCAAACTGATGCTCTATGTACATGAAACTTATTATTTTTCACCTTAAATTTAGATTTAAAGATAACACACAAATTATCTGGTATGGTGCTGTGAGTCAATGTGCCAGACTGCAAGTCGTTTACACTGCAAGGTCGTCAGTTCAAGCTCACCAGATGCTCCTTTGAAACCCTATACATGGTCGGAACCAACTAGACAGCACTTAACAACAACAGGTTTGGGTTTTTTTTTTAGCATTCCAACTATTTTGTTGTTGTTGTTAAGTTCCATCAAGTTCCAACCCATAGCAATCCTGTACAGGGTTTCTGAGGAGTAGCTGGTGAGCTTGAACAGCTGATTATGTGGTTCAAACCAATTTTGCAGTCCAGCACATTAACCCAAAGCACCGCACCAGGACTCCATTCCAACTATGTTGTTGTTAAGTGCCATAGAGTCAGTTCCGACCCATAGTGACCCTGTGTAGAGTTTCTAAGGAATGGCTGGTGAGCTTGAATCACTGACCTTGCAGTTCAAACTAGCTTTGATGTCCAGCGCATTAACTCACAGCGCTACACCAGGACTATGTTGTTGTTGCTAAGTGCCATCGAGTCGGTTCCGACCCATAGGGACCCTGTACAGGGTTTCCAAGGCTGTAAATCTTTATGGGAGCAGAAAGCCTCACCTTTCTCCTGTGGAGCAGCTAGTAGTTTTGAACTGCTGACCTTGCAATTCATAACCACTACATTACCAGAGCGGAGTGCAAAAGAAAGAACCTACTTCTCATTCATTTTTTTTTCTAACTACAAGTACTCACCTAAGGATGCATAAACAAATTTTGCCTCCTGATGTGAGTCTGCAGAATCCAAATCTCTGTTTACTTTCAATGTCTGTCAGTACAAAGGTAAAGTGCTGTCCGACTTGATTTTGAGACACCCTAAAATACAGTAACATTATGAAACATTAAGTCTTGTGTGAACATATTTTTAAAGAACAGAGAAGCTAGAATATATTTTTATGTGGAATTGGCTTCATCTCTGCAATTAATTCTCAGAGTCAGAACAATGCTCTAAATCTAAAATGAAGGTGATATGGGTACACTAAATCTAAACCAACACACTAAAACAAGTTGCAATGCTTTACAGATCAAGAAATTCAGCATATACTAATCCCGCTTTAGGAACTCATACGGTATTTTGCCACAAATTTTCACATGCCTACAAATTCTGATAGTTCATAAATTCTCAAAACATTTTTACTTCATTTTTAAATGAGAGAAACTAAACATGATGACTTAGCTATTTTGCCCAACTCTAGCCTCCTTTTCTGATTATTCTAAGATAGCTTAGAGGAAATCATGTTGTTTCGGAATCAAATGGTAACCACCACCAACTTGCTAATTATTTCTTCTGTTGACATTCTCACCAAATAAAGAACCATACCAAACAATATTGGTATTTATCTTATTTTTCTTAGCATTCTTTTTTAGAGCTACCAGATACCAAGAAATAAATTTCCAAGTAAAAAATAAAGAATGTAATTCCTAAAAAGAAAAGAAAAAAGGAAAATATACTGGTTAACCTGTAAAGGACTTCTGCTAATTTTGAACTAAGTATGATATTAGCAACAATGTTGTTGTTGTTGTTAAGTGCTGTTGAGTCAGTTCTGACCCACACTGACCCTGGTGAGCTTGAACTGCTGACCATGTGGTTCAGACTGACTTTGCAGTCCATCACATTAACCAGCAGCACCACTGCAGTGTAATATTCAATAAAACAATTATACTGAATATTTTTATTTTAAAAATATTTTTTCTGGTTATAATGGCTCCAATTGTGCCACTGGATATATGTAATCTGCCTCATGACATCTGATTTTTGGTGTATTTAGAAAAAGTATGAAACAGGAATTAAACTACTAAACTAATGGTGTGCTAAGAGAACTACTACATATTGTTTTCAATAGTTAGGAAATATTGCATTTAGAATACTAAACATTTAACAAGTATACTTTTATGTCATGGCATGTTAAGTGCTGTCAAGTAGGTCTGACACACAGGGACACTGTATAGGGTTTCCGTAGAGTAGCTGATGGGCTTGAACTGCCAACCTTGCAGTTAGCAGTCCAGTGCTTATCCTACAGTGCCACATCAAGACTCTGTACACTTTTTTAGTGGACAGCTTCAAAAAAAAACAAACAAACAAACAAAAACTTACAAACAACTTTAAGAAACAATCACCTAGTGCCAACTGTGCCCGCTTGTGATCAATTTTCAAAATATCCATTCATAGGTTTTCTTCATTTTATCATTACTATTTCTCTTTAAAAAGCAACTTTAGAAGAGCAGAATTGATTACCCACAAGGAGTATCATTCATCAGCACCAATTAGTATCAACTATCCTATCGTTTAGAAGGCTTATCTTTGATATCATAAAATTTTAGATTCTGACTAATCTTTAACTGTGCAAAGTATTTCCCTAAAATACAATTTTCTTTGAAAACCTATTCATATGACACTTTTTAAAAGACTGATAATAGGGTGTGAAAATCACATGAAAAACCATAAATGATCTGTTGTTATGTTCAAGGACTACCTCCTCTAAGCAAGCCCAATGAAGCATATAATACTCTTTTAGTTCAGTATTTATTTAGTAAGTGAAATGCAAGCACAATGAGATTTTCAATACTATTAGGAAACTTTTTCTATATCTCCTATAATACTGCACTGTTTCCATAAAGCTCTTCTTGGAAGCAACTTGGTAATTAATGAGTTTTACAATCACTCAAATGGTCTTTTCAATTAGGGTGAAGTAATACTGAAATCAGGATATATAGCTCTAATGTTGAAAAACATAATTCCAATGCTTCCATCAAGAATATATAGATTTTTTTTTTTTTTTTTCCTGCTAGTACTTACAATGTGTACCTGCAGAACAAAGGGAGGAAACAAAACCTATTTATTGGCAGTTCTACTATAAGACTTCTCAGGAGCCAGAGTAAACAAAAGATAAAATTATTTAAAAGGCTTATTCATTCTAGTATTATTTAATTTAGAATCTCTAGCCATTATTGTTAGAAGCAGTGAATAGAGAGTATATGGCATTTTATAAAAAAAGCATATGTAATCATTTTAAGGTATGCATTAAGATGGGCTAAAGTTATTTAAAATGATGACTTATACTGTACCTTTCAACGTCAAAGGGGAAACAGAACTTTGGCACACTCTGTAGTACTTCCTACAAAGGCAAATTAAAAAAAAAAACAAAAAAACTTTAGAATATTTTTAAAGATGCAGTTAAAACTTTGAGACATTTATAAGGAATAAAAAAGGTTTTGTTTGTTTTTTTGTCCTTAAGAGAAATAGCACAGGTTCCTAGACTAAAATAATTGATTATTAAAAAGGAATTAAGTTTGTGCTTTGGCAGATTGCACTGACAATGCCACAGAAACCCCAGGAGGGAAAGGCCTGGCCTGAAGGGTATTAACACCCTTCACATCCCCGCTGGGATTCCCTTCAACAAGGCCATATGGATTTTACAAGAAGCACTGCACCATATGGGTAAGCTACGTCTGCTGCTACTTGTACCACAGACTAGCCACAGGGACTTCTGACAGATCCTGGCTCAAAAATATAAATGTTGTTTCAATTAAAATGCAGGCAGAGAAAAGGGAATGAAGTTGGCAGCAGAATGAATTACTGAGAGGTATAACAACTCTACATATCCCACAGTCAAATGGTTTTTTAAAAAACTTTCTGTCTATAGCTAATGAAATAGCCATTTATATGATTCAATCCTTGATAAATTCACTAACAGTAATATTAAATTCTATCTCAAATTATACTCTTGGAAAAATGTGTGTCTAAGCAAGGCTTTAAATTAAAACAACAGAGCTTCTACTTTGTGCACATCCACTTAAGAACTACCTAATATGAAATCAATGTTTTAATTAAGCATACAAAGTAAATTTATTGGTTTTAAAAACTATAATGATTTTATGTCATTATAAAGTAACTTCAAAGTTTTTATAAATAATATCCACTAACGATTATAGCAAAGTATAAACAACTGTCAGCCTTTTGGCAAAAACCTGAAAAAGATCTATTTCTTTATGTCTGAAAAAACAAGTTAAACTTAGCTGCAATTCAAAACTTTAACCACAACTGAAGACAATATCATACAAGTTCCAAACTAGCTAACTTTACAAGTTAAAGCAGAGAGTTACTAGAATGTTTCCTAGTAAGGGGGAAGAGGGTGTCTCAATTTAGCAGTACCAGTCACTCCTCGGAAACAGGTTTGCTATGGTTTTGCTATGGGTTGGAACCAACTCAATGGCATTTAATAACAACAAACTTAAAAAAATAAAATATAAGGAGTCCTGGTGTGGCACTGTGGGTTAATGCACCAGACTGCAAAGCTGTTTGAACTGCAAGGTCAGTGGTTCAAGCTCACCAGCTGCTCCTTGGAAACCCTATACAAGGTTGCTGTGGGTTGGAACTGACTCTACGGCATTTAACAACAACAACAAACTATCTCTTACCCAATAAAACTAACACCCAGAAAAGTCACCAACATCTAAACACTAAGCCTTATAAGTAAATATAGTATTGAGTATTTTAAAATAAAATTTCTCACATTCTTACAACATGTGGATTGCATGTTAATGAGGTATAAATAAAAAGTAAAGCACTATCACATTATAATAGCAATACCTCAGAAAGCATGGACTTTAAATCACTGAAGAAAGGAAAAATAGCATCGCAAAACAAAAAAACAAAAAACAGTATTCTACCTTTAGGGTACCTTGATCTGCTTTTAAGCATGTACCTTTCAAAGAATGAGTACAGACTCCATATTTAGTGGTGGCTAACTCTATAACTACTGACGATATTTTATTAAAGGTATTTAAAAGAGCCACTATATTGAAATTACTTAAATTACTTAGACTGAGAAACAGTTCATTACACAAGAGAATACTTCATTTGACTACTGTGCCAAATAAAGTGAAGCCATTTATCATATTTACTACACACACAAACACTAGATATTCACCTACAAAATTAACTGCAGAATTTCTGTGATACTAAGGAATATATTGCTAAAATTCATTGTCCACATATGGATATACCCAAAATAGTAATAAATTTCATATCAGTGTTAAGACTCAAAGAGAACGCTTCCCAGTTAGACACTCAATCTTCCACACCCTCCCCCTCCTTTCTTTCCCAACACACATGCACACACTTCTGCAAAACAGCCTCAGTTCGCTTCCCAACTGGCAGAAGCATCCCTCAGGGGACAAGTCTTTAAACCTCCGCACTCTTTAAAATTCAACCAGCCAGCAGGTCTATAGACTAGTGTATAAACAGTATAGACAAAAAAAAAAATCCTCTCTCAGCTTATGTCAGTGACAAAGCAGCTCAGCAGTTGACTGTTTCTCCCCTGACAGTATAAGCTGGGTTTACACAGATCAATAGCTGGAAGTCCTACCTAGCTCCCAGAGCTCGATTTTCTTCCTTAATTACAGGTGCTATTCAAACCGAAGTTTAAAAAGAAAAGCGAGAGAAGGAGTTGGAGGGAGGAATAAGACGCATGCAAATTGCTTTTTAAAAAAACCCTTTTAGCAATGATAGTTCACTGAAAATTGTATTTTTACATTTATTGGAAAAGTGGAAAAAGACTGGTCTTTCCACCATAGAGTGTTTTTTATATGATACATATGAGGGGCTTTAATAAGTTTGTCAAAAAATTCCATTAGCTTTTAATTCCATTTTCTACAAACTTTTTGAAGCCCCTGACATACACACACACACAAAGCTTCTAGGTTGCAATTAGAGATTATGTGACAGGCTTTGGATAATATTCTTCAGAAGTTATCTCCTTCCCCCCTACTTCTTTACAGGTTCTTATTTTTAAGAGAAATACCTAACTTCCTCAACAATAAAATTTATTTGGGGATTTTAGAATCTTCTTATTTCTCTAAACTATTATATTGTATTCAAATAGAAAGCATTTTCTCTAATACATGCCAAATGTTAAAAACCAAAACAAATGAAAGTGGAAGAAACTGAAAATTACAAATAGCAAAGTACCAGGGACAGGAACATTTATATGCCTGTATGTGCCCTTAAAACAACATATCGATACTCAAGATTAATGGATGAAATCAATGGTTGATGAAAATTTATACATCAATTTTTACTTCCATATCAATGCAAGTCTATTAATAAGCATTATAATCAAATTAATTCTGTAAGAAAGAATACAGTAAACTGCTAGTGTTAGGTGGTACAATAACTCTATATCCCAGGAGTATATCATTTAGCACCATAAATTGGTCAAATAAAAAGTCAAATAAAATAAGCATTTTAACAATAACAGATTTTTTATAATATGTAAATTTTACCTCCTAATCAAAGCAAAATAACTACAAATGTCACAGACTTTTGTTGATATCAGTAATTGCTTTTCCTCCTTCTCAAACTATTTTTCTCCTATCTTACACAGAAACGCTGTTCTCTCAGGCTCAGTGTTTGCCTCTCTTCCTTTCTGGGTAATGTTTATTGCCAGGGCAATTTCATCTATACCCATGGTTTCAACTGTCAATGCTATTGACCAAATTTCTTAGTCTTGTGATTGAAACACTTCCGTGTGCTCCAAGATTATCTTTCTAGCTACTTAATTGGCAGCATTTTCTTAAATGTTACCTTCAAATTTTCCAAAACTGAAGCCATTCTTATAGTTATATTCTTATCACCAAGAAAGGCAGTACCATCTACCCTGTTACATGGGAGTCATCTAAAACCTTCCCTTCCCCTGATCCCCATGTATATATAATCAATCATTCACCAAGTTCTGCTAATTCAATCTCATAAGTATCTTGCATCCATGGTTCTCAGTGGAAGGGCAAATAAAACTGGAAGGAAGATAAGCAGGTATCAGAATAATTTGGGAAGGTTTTTCAAAACACATTCGATTGCCTACACTTCATAGTTACTATACTCTGTTCCTGCACGGTGGTGATGATGGCGTGCCTTGCAGTCAGTTCAAATAGTGATCCTGCATAGGGTTTCCAAGGTTGTAAATCTTTATGGAAGCAGAAAGCGTCATCTTTCTCCTGCAGAGTGACTGGTAACTTTGAATTGCTGATCTTGAGGATAGAAGCCTGACTCATAACCACTACACTACATAGACCCACAAAAGTACTGAGTCTCTAACTTCAGTTGGAATAGTACCTGAAATTAGGCTAACTATATCAGTTAGCATACATGCCATATACAAGGGGACTTTATTGGAATTAAAAGATAATGGGAATTTCCCACAAACTTTTTTGAAGTCCCCTTAAACGTTGTTATTGTTCGTCGCTCTTGAGTCAATTGCTGTGAATTACGGCAACCCAATGTACAATGTAGGAAACAGTGCTTGGTTCTTTGCCATCTTCATGATCAACGACATGTTTGAGTTCATTGGTGTGACCATTGTATGTATGCCTTCCAGCCTCCATGTCTCAGCTTCCAGCATTATATTGGACAATATTCCACAATGACACCCAGAGTTTTCATTGACAAATTTTTGTAATAAAATTGCCAGGCTTTTCTTCCTAGATTGTCTTAGAAACTCCTCTGTAATCTGTCCAACATCAGTGACCCTGTTGATATTTGAAATACTGGTAGCAGAGCTTCCAGTACTATAGCAACACATATACCATCACAGCAGAACAAACGGACAGATGAAGGACATGTTCAGGGGCTAGTTAATTGAACATCCTCTCCAAGGACTCAAGACCTACTGTCCTGCTCTGTTGTCCTGAATTTCTCAGTTTTTGTTCTCAATTACTTCTTCTATTCTTGAGTCCTGGTGTGGCGCTATGGGTTAATGTGTCAGACTGCAAAGCTGTTTGAACCACAAGGTCTACAGTTCAAGCTCACCAGCTGCTCCTCGGAAACCCTATACAAGGTCACTATGGGTCGGAACCGACTCAACGGCACTTCACAACAACAACAACCTCTATTCTTTGTTATAAAATGAACTGCCTGTTACCAGTGAAAAAGTATTGCTTTCTGTGAGTCTTTTTTTTTTTTTTAATGTTTTATTGTGAATTATGTGCTAATTTACATGGGACAACATTAGCTTTACATTCATCCTATCGTGTATCATTTCATTGCCATGGTTACAATCCCCTCCATGCATCATCAGCCAACTACAGAGTATACCCTGCAATCCTCCTCCCTGCTCTC